CCACGCGTTTCATACCCAAAACATTCGAAAAAATTTCATGGGATGAGCAAATCGATATACCAACATCATCAGCGACTTCTTTGATAGTTTTTAACCATTTCTTCCACTTTTTCCATGTTTTTATCGGTTGTTAATGCTTGCGCGTTCGGGGCGTTCGTCATCTTCAACGTCTTCACGGCCATCTTGGAAACTCTTATACCACTTGTAAACTCTTGTTTTACTTATAGCAGACTCACTATAGGCCTTTGTTAACATTTCACAGAATTTATTTCATTTTTTAAGCAAAATTGGATACAAATTCTTTGATCCATTTCTTTTAACGAACGAAAATCGCCGAGCTCATAAAACACGTCTAACCTTACCGGCTGCCACAGACAAAGTAAACAATGAAAACAGCTAAAGTTTTTATAATACTTCGGGGGCATGTATACCAACATAATAAAGAAAATTTTATGACAACCGGACCCTCCGAACCCGCGAAATTTAACAATTCCCATTATTTTCTGAACACAACTCGTATACTGCAATGATTTATTCAAACCTTCAAACCAAAATTTGGTCTAATCGATTGTTAATCCTAAATTAAGAATAAGATTATTTCATTTAAAGTCTTTCTTAAAATTTAACAGGCGAGAATATGATCTGCTTGTTTAAAGAAAGATTAATATTTAGTTTAATGTTAGTTTTAGCCTTGACAATATTATGTCAATCATTTTGTTTCAACTGTACATGATTTTATGCTAAATAAAAATAATATTCAAACATAAAACTAGACACTTAAAATAAAAAATAGTCTAGCCAAAACGACTGTCAGAATGCCTTAAATTGATTTTTAATCATTATTTATTTTAAACTTGCTAAAATTAGATTTCCAATTGGTAATGCCAAAAAATATAAATTATGATTAAAAAATCAACGTCTGAACTAAAAACGTTAAAAAAGCTGCCAAAAAACATAGAGTTAATAAAAAATTAATAGTTAATAATTTCATGAACAAAATTTTATCCATACAAATTTTCCCTTCGCGTTACTGTGCACATTGTGCAAGGGCTAAATTTTCGTTAGCGTGGACCAGGGGGTGGTTTTGTCCCCTCCAATCCCGTGGAGTCAGGGGGGAAGGGGGGTTGCTAATAGTTCGCGTTCAATGTCAAGGTCTGGAATTTGAAGGGAAAAATGGCAAATATTTGTCCCGCTAAAAAAACATGCACAATATGGGCGTTTTTTTTAATTAAAAAAATATATAGTTATTTTTATGGTATTGTAAATTCTGCTCTACTGCATTTAAATACATATAAATATATGGGTGAAAATGTTTATTTTTAATTATGTTGTTTTGAAATAAGTTATTGTATCTTTTGACACCTTAATATTTTTTAAAAATACAATTGTACAATGTACATACATAAAATATATACATAAAATATTTATAAAAAAAATCTACTTACTGAGATATCACACTTCACGGTGGATAGGTTTTTAAATAGCAAATTAATGAACTTAAACTTTTGAATTATAAAACAGCAACACTCTCATCTGCATATAAATTCTAACTGACCTTCAGGAATCACATGCATTTATAATGTCGTAAACAGAGGTTTTGCTTATTTAAAATGATTAAAGTGCCATCCGGTGCATACAATTTAAAGCAAAAACAGATTCACGAAGGATAGAATCAATTTTTGTAACACCTACATAATTCTTTTAATTTTTAATAATATTTTATATTTGATTCGATTGCTTTGGATGTGTTTAATTTACTTAGTGAACTGATATTTTTAATATGCTTTTACTACCTAAGATATTTGAAAACATATAGGTTAACCTAGAAAGTCAGGGAGGATAGGTTTTAGACTTTTAAAACATTGTAAAAAATAATTAATTGCGGTTAAAAATCTGGAACCTGAGCTGTAATATTTACTTATTTATGAAAGATCAAAACACAATAAAAGTGTAGTTCAAACTCATTTATTTTGTGTGGGCGAAATTTTTTTAAACCTAAAACAATTAATAGTCAAAATTTTTTTAAATATATAATGCAACTGTAAAACTTTAAGCTTAAAAATATTGATTTTTAAAAATTTTAGTTCAAATATTTTATTTTACAAAATTTTCGGTTTAAATGTGTAAAGAGTAATTTAAATGATAGTCGATAAATTTTTAATACTAAAATTCTCACATTACAAAATGAATTTAAATTAATTAAAAATCTTTAAAAAATGACGCAATTTCATTATGCAATATTATCCTTGAAAACAACATTACATTTAATCAAAAATAATTTTTGAAAAAAATTTTTGTAGGGCAGACATTTATAAGTTAAACTAATCCTTCTTAATATAAATAAAATGAGGCATTTTAATGACAGCTGTCACTAGTGAATTTAAAAAAAAACTTATTTTTGAGAAAAAATATAAAAACATCATTTTCTGTCGTTAAATGTTTCCACTAATTAATAATAAAACTGTAGCGACAATTGCCAAAATTCCAAAGTATTTGCGGAGGCCATTAAATTTTTGAATTGCGTCCACATGGTTTATTTATAATCGCGCGGTTCGTGCATTTTAACAAACCTACACCAACAAATTTCTGATTATGTAGCATTATTATTATGTGGCATAAAAAGTTTTGAAATACGCAATTCGCGACTCGTTATATCGCTAAAGGAAGCGATAACGTAAATGGCTTATTGTGTTAGACGATAGCTCGTAATGAATAATATTTAAGTTTTTTTCTTTATTAGATTGTACTTTGTGTAATTGGCTTTTTTGCACGGCGGAAATGATAAAATGGCAGAACTTTGTCCTTTGTTTAATTTCAAATGATATTCTATGCCTTACTAGCTTGTCATTATTTAAGCCTGTCCTTATTTTGACTCTTTATTTTATCTTTAACCTAGGAATTTAGCTTGTCATTATTTAAGTCTGTCTTTATTTTGACTCGTAATTATTTTATTTTGCTCTTTATTTTATTCTTTAACCTAGGAATTTTGCTTGTCATTATTTAAGCCTGTCTTTATTTTGACTCGTCATTATTTTATTTTGCCCTTTATTTTAGTCTTTAACCTAGGAATTTAGCTTGTCATTATTTAAGAATTTCTTTATTTTGATTTGTCATTATTTTGTTCTTTATTTTCGCTTGTCTCTTTTTTAGCTTTAACTTAAGAATTTAGCTTGTCTTTATTTTGACTTGTCATTATTTTATTTTGGTCTTTATTTTATTATATTATATTATTATTTTATTTTGTTCTTTATTTTAGCTTTTCTCAATTTTAGCATTAACCTAGGGATTTAGCTCGTCATCATTTTATCTTATTTCTATTTTAACTTGTCATTATTTAAGCCTGTCTTTATTTTGACTTGTTATTATTTTATTTTTTTCTTTATTTAGCTTTTTTTAATTTTAGCTTTAACCTAGGAATATAGCTTGTCATCATTTTATCTTTTATCTATATTTTAGCTTCTCATTATTTAAGCCTGTCTTTATTTTGACTTTTAATTTATTTTATTTTGTTCTTTATTTTAGCTTGTCTTAATTTTAGCCTTAACCTAGGAATTTAGCTTGTCATCATTTTATCTTATCTCTATTTAAGCTTGTCACTATTCATTTATTTTTTTACTTGTCATTATTTTATTTTGTTATTTATTTTAGCTTGTCATCATTTTATCTTATCTCCATTTTAGCTTGTCATTATTTTATTTTGTTCTTTATTTAGCTTTTTTTAATTTTAGCTTTAACCTAGGAATATAGCTTGTCATCATTTTATCTTTTCTCTATATTTTAGCTTCTCATTATTTAAGCCTGTCTTTATTTTGATTTTTAATTTATTTTATTTTGTTCTTTATTTTAGCTTGTCTTAATTTTAGCTTTAACCTAGGAATTTAGCTTGTCATCATTTTATCTTATCTCTATTTAAGCTTGTCATTATTTTATTTTGTTCTTTATTTAGCTTCTATAAATTTTAGCTTGAACCTAGGAATTAAACTTGTCATCATTTTATCTGATATCTATTTTAGCTTGTCATTATTTAAGCCTGTATTTATTTTGACTTGTCATTTATTTTAGCTTGTCATCATTTTATCTTATCTCCATTTTAGCTTGTCGTTATTTTATTTTGTTCTTTATTTAGCTTCTATAAATTTTAGCTTGAACCTAGGAATTAAACTTGTCATCATTTTATCTGATATCTATTTTAGCTTGTCATTATTTAAGCCTGTATTTAACCTAGGAATTAAGCTTGTCATCATTTTATCTAATATCTATTTTAGCTTGTCATTATTGTCTTTATTTTAGCTTTTCTCAATTTTAGCATTAACCTAGGGATTTAGCTCGTCATCATTTTATATTATCTCTATTTAAGCTTGTCATTATTCAAGCCTGTATTTATTTTGACATTATTTTATTTTGTTCTTTATTTTAGGTTGTCCCAATTTTAGCTTTAACCTAGAAATTTAGCTTATCATCATTTTATCTTATTTCTCTTTTAGCTTCTCATTATTTAAGCCTGTCTTTATTTTAGTCCTTAACCTATAAATTTAGCTTGTCATCATTTTATCTTATCTCCATTTTAGCTTGTCATTATTAAGTCCGTCTTTATTTTGACTTGTCATTATTTTATTTTGCTCTTTATTTTAATCTTTAACCTAGAAATTAAGCTGGACATTATTTTATTTTAGCTTGTCATCATTTAAGCTTAAACTACAACAAGCTAAAATAAAGGACTAAATAAAATAATGACAAGCTAAAATGTCATCATTTTATCTTGTTCTCAGTTTATGCTCTCGTCATTTCTTGTCTTGTTATTTTATTATTGGTTTTTTTTTACTTGTAATTAATTTATATTGTTCTTTTTCCTTCAGGATATTCTCTATTTGGTCGTCGTTTCTCCTATTTTAGCTTTTTGTGGCTTATCATAATTTTATCTTTTCTAGAAATTTAACTTTTTATTATTTTGTTTACAATCTAAAATTTCAATAAACCAAAATTAGTTTTAAACCTTTTAGAGCCAATTTCTGTACAAACTCTTTAATTTGATCTTGGTAGCGGCAAAATGGATAAAACAGCTGCACTTTGTTCCTTTTATTAAATTTAAATGGGTAGGTAAAAGTCAAAACGGCTTCGTGTTCACTTGGCTGTATACCTATGCACGGCACTCTATTGAAATGCTTTTAAAATTGATTATCTCACTGTTGCTATGTGCGAGAGCACCGTCGGTCCAGACCCGCTACAATTATGACCAATCCGGGCGTAAAACGCATTACCACACCGCCCGCATACCTATAGGAAATTGGATTTGGCAATGGGAAATTGCTTAGTCTACAAACACTGCACCTCTGGTCCATGTTTACCAACTATTTTACTATACATACATATCATTTCCTGACTGTCCGCCGGCAAGACTCGGCATTCCTCTCACCGCTGTTTATGATGGTTATGACTATATAAGGTGTAAGCACTACAATTAAAACAATCCCAGATATTTCGATATCCAGGTTATCTGGATATAAACGGCGTTTTCGTCAACGAAGAGGTGGGTCCAGTTGGCCGTAAAATCACGGGTAGCTGCTGCGATGTCCTAATTAAATTTCCCTTCTGCAAATTGTCGACGGGGTTCGATGGAAAAGCATTTCAAGCGCTAAAGGTCACTTCGTAATTTTCAAATTAGGGAGAAAATTTTGCTGACACTAACGGCGCTCCTAAATAATTTAATAATATGTAATAGCCTGCCGGTAACGAAGTCTTGCCATCTTGATGAAAATAAAGGTCGTCCATCATTTTATGATAATAATTATAATTCATGTTTTTTTCATCAGAATTCCATGGTATATACTCGAATATTTAAATTAATAATTGGAAATACCACCAAAAACGTCAAAACAAGTTTTTTCCCCGTTATCATCGTAACAAAACTCTAACTACCACTCAACGGTAAAACAACCAAAAACGGGTATTACATTATGTATTATACATATACATATTTAAGTATATGTAAGATAACCTACCAATCTTTACTGTCATTTAAAATTTGCTATGTTGCCAAATTGATTCAAACGTTAATCAGTTAATATAAATAAATCAATGTTTCTCCATACGGCAATACGTACGTGTAACTTTTGAAATATCGAAAATATTAAAAAATTATTTTTATAAAATTTGTTTAATAGTTTATTTGAAATTTTGCGGTGACATTACCAACTTAAAAAATGAAATGCGTAGCCAAAACCCGATGCTTCTTTATAACTTCGCTTTTATGAAAATTATCGGTAATTTTTGAGCATGGAAATCTATAAATAAAATGAAAGAAAAATCATTTACGTAACCTTAAACAAAAACTAATTATATTACAAGAACAACAAAGTAAACGATTTTCTTTCTTTTTTTCTCGGTAATCACTATAATTATGTAGATGATTTTATACAAAGAAAACCCATTAAAATGTACTAAATTTAGCGTGTAAACACGCACTTCTCTACACTGTGACGGTTTCTATTTTGTTCATGATTATTTCGTGATAATTTCAAAGCATAAAAATTAATCCCCAGTCTTGGTAATATTACTTAATTACCGGGGGGTTTTTCTATGGATTCCCGGTTCCGATTCAGTCAACTTGAAGTGCGATTGGCTTCCTTAGAATTACGCACTTTGGCCAAGCCTTATACAGTAACCGACAAAAGTATGGAACGAATTCATTAAAAAGTTTTTCCCCAAAATAATTCTTGATTTTGCTTTTTGATGTAAAATATTCATATTTGCCGGCATTTTTGTAAAAGCCCTCTTTTTTTGCAAAAGCCCTCTTTTATTTCCAAAAAAATATTTTTTTATCTTCATGAAAAAATAATTTTTTTTTAAATACTTGAGGAAAAAGATTAATTTATTCGTTTAAGGTTATTACAATATTAGCTTAAATCAATTCTTTTGAATGAAGAAAACGTTTTTAGCGCAAAAAATGGGATTTTAACAAGAAACTGCATCTCTTAATTGAAGCTTAGGAACTTTCTAAGAAAGAAAATTTGTCTTGCTACAAAAGCTATTGACCTAACCACATTTTATTTTGATTTTAGAGCAAATATCTCTTGGTCCAATAGTATGTATTGCTTTATTCAAAAACTAGAAGATTGACTGAGAAAAAGGTTTACAAAAAAAAATATTTAAATAAAATAAGACATTTATTGTTTAATATCAGGGTCGTTTTCAAAAAACACCCGTGAAAGCCTATAACAAGCCCTTAGTAAACTCTTTCAGAAAATTTTTGTTTAGTTATTTTAGAATAATTTTTTTTTAATTTTGAATCTTGTGAAACACACATTTTCGCATGTCCCATAAGCGTTTTATAAAACTTGCATACATGTTTTTTTTTAAATATTGAATAACCAGAACTTTGTGTTGCTTTATAGCAATCCATAACATCCTTAGTTAATACAGTAAACAATTTATATATAAAATAATTAATTAATCTACTTTTTTTAAATTTGACTCATGTCCCAGACATTTTTTCCGTTGCGTTACGTCCGTCGCGTTACCGATAGAATATTAAAAAAAACATATATATGGCAAATTTTTTGGCACTCACGTGATCAACAAATGATGTTCGGACGTACACATTACCCAGCTAAATTTATTTATTCAATCAGGAAGAAGATATCGGTTGAAACAGGTGCGGGTAACGCGAATGTAATAATTGTTTGTCCGCTAAGTTGCTCAAAAAAATAATAAAAATAAGGTAAGAAAAAATACTATTTTTCATGTTTATGTTTATTTTAGGGCACTAAAGCTCATTGAGAGTAATGTAATGTAATGTCTTATTATTATTTTTTAAATATGGTTTTACAAAACTTTGTCCACTATGTTACATTATGGTAACGCAATGGAATTTAGGGTAACGCAATAGAATTTTTCGACAACAAAGTGGATATTTACCGTCGCTTTTATTAAAAGTAGTTTATGATTAACCAATTTAAAATTATTTGTAATTACAACTCATGATATAGATTACATCCAAGGAAAAATTCCACGCAATATAAAAGTACTAAAAGGGACCTTTACCAGTTTATAGTCGAAGAAAAAGGGTGTCTACAATTTAGAAATCTAAGTTGTTATTCTGCAAGTGAGCACCACTACAAGGGATTTTGTTTATGCATTACTCTAAAGTCGTACCACCCTATATAGTTTCTTTTTTACGTTATCTGATTAAGTCCTTTGTGTACCCCTGTCCGTTGTGATACCAATGTCTATTTCGTTACTTTTTTTAGTTTTTGTTAAAAAAATACTTAAAATGATTTTTATACACTATCACTTGGTAGTACGTGTTTATAAATTAGAGTTTAATTCACTAATACAGTGAGAAAATATTAATGGTATTGTTTTTTTAACAAAGAATCGGAATGGTTTCTTTTAAAAAGTAACTTAACAAACATACATATTTAAAAAAAAGCATACAATTTTTAATAAAAAATAAAATAAAAAATTGGAGTCAAAAGTTTGTGAATTAAGTACATTTTATTTCAAATTATTTTTATAACAACTTTTTTTATTGAATTAAATTTTGGATTTCAAATTGGTAACACAGTGGATATATATAAAGCTATAGCTTATAACTAAGGCCCGGATTTTAGGTAAAACACCTTTTGTTGGTTTTTTAGGTTTTAAAGATATTTTTTTGTATTTGCCCGTTTTATAAAAAATGGAGTCATCTGACTAAGTTTTATTTGACCTAAAATACCTTTTTTATATTTTTTTCACCTATTTTCCATTTTTGCACCTAAATTGTATTTTTAATACCTAAAATGAACTTGGTTTAAAAATGTTTTGACTGATAAACGCACTAGCTTTATTTTTGAAAACTTGGAGAAATATTTTGTCTGTCATGCATATAATCGTTAAATAAATTAATAAAAAAATTTTTTTTTGTAATTTTAGAGTTCCTATTATGTTTTTTTGCTATTTTACATTATTTGTGATATGATATATTTACTTTTTTTAAAAATCTTTTATTTTATTTGTTATTTTTCCAACCAAACGTTTTTGTTCAGTTAATGTTAATAATAAATATTATTTTAATAACTATTTCATTTTTAATTTAAATCCTTTATTGCCGGACATTAACAGAGCAATTATAATGTAACTAAAACTACATAAGACCTATGTATGGTTTTACAACGATATCGACATTATAATGAAAACATTTTATTTCAGTAAATCAGCATATTTTATTTTTTTATTTAAGTACCTAAAATGTAGGCACCTAAAATAATAACCTAATTTTGTAACCTATTTTTTGCATTTTTTTTACTTTTTTATAACCTTTAAATACGGGCCAACCAATATTAACTTTTTAATTAAGTACCTAAAATAATAACCTATTTTATTAAAAATATCACCTAATTTAGGAACCTTTTATCACTTTTTTATGACCTAAAAATCCGGGCCTTACTTATAACTAAACACATTTTTCTGAAAAAAACGTAAAAAAAATTAAAAAGTGCACTACCTGACTTAAATGTAAGTAAACAAAACTCTAAACATTTATAAAAATCCAACCAAAAGTCAATTTAAGAAAAAAAATATTTTGATCTTAATTTTCCTGAAAGCGGGTGTTTCTTGAAAATGACCCACTAAGAACTTTTTTCTTTAAGCAATAAATACTGTTTTATGCTAAAATATTGTTTCTTGCCGCTAATAATTTTTTATCAACGAAACACGAAACACACGAAAACATTTTTTGATATTTTGCAGTTAATTTTATAAACATTTTAAAATTGTGCATTGTGCACTATCAAAGCTATCATTCTTCCTGTTTGGAATAAATTTCCGTCCTGCAATAAATCCGTTGCAGGGAACTGTGGCATGGGCAAAATATCCCACGCGTTGTAACAAATAAAATAACAAACGATCTGCCGGCCTGCTTCAAAGTGAATCGATAAATTTTTCCATCGGACGGGAAACACAACTTCCTAATTACCGGAGAATTTGTTGGCCCGATAATTGCTAATAGATTAGCACTTTGGCCTTGATAAACGAGCTTCGCATCTTCAAAATATCTAAAATTTTCAAAATTCATGAAATGCACTCTCTTAAAATGATATAGTCAAAATTCTACTAATTGAATTAGTTTACTAATAAAATAATCGTTTTCACTTTTAAATACACTCACAGGCAAAATAATCGATCCACACAAATTTTCGATGAATTTTAATCGCAAATAACTTGTTCATTTTATGTCGGATTTAAACGAATATTAAAGAATATTGTAGATAAATTAATCGACAATCGCTCACAATGTGCCTCACATTTTAAAAAATTACTACAAAATAGACGTACGTTTATAATATACAGGTTTAAACAAAAAGATGTTTTTTACCATAAGTTTAAGACACTCTGTAGAGTGGCAAAACCGTATATTGTTTTAAATTAAGTTTTATTTATCAAGTCACATCTATTCTTAACAGTTTTGTTTTTGGTTCACCTCGATATATTTATTTTTGTGGAAAATATGGATTTTTTTAAAAAACATTGCAATTTCCAATATTTTTCTGTATGAAGAACTAAGGTTGCTATGGTCCATCCATAGGCTATGGAGAATGACAGTGACAGTTTTGTTGAATCCTCCCATACTTGGACATGTCATATACATCTTTCAAAAGCTATCAAATTGTT